ACTCTGTAATTTTCGTTAAATACAATTCGGTTGCCCTCACCTGTGTTCTCCTTCACTACAGTACTTTTAAAACATTAATTATCCTAGCTGGTACTATTCAGTAAGCGTTTATTTACAAAATCTTGAAGCTGATGATATTACTTCTCATAATATATGGACTAATGCCATAAAAACATTATCTTAAACTAATCACTTAAAGCATAGAAATGAATGTACACACACTAAATAAATGACCACTATGTCTCTTTTAATATTAACTTCAAGGAATAAATAAATAAATATAACTAATTTGATTAGACTCCTTTGTGAATAATAAAATATTGATTGTTATTGTCAGCTTCCATAACAATCATGTCCATTTCTAGTGTTTATATTCATCGAGTTTCTGTCAATTTATTTTCAATTAAGTGTAAAATTAATGTTAGGGTTGAGCAATTATATTCATATATATATATATATATATATATATATATATATATATATATATATATATATATATATCACGAATTTCACTGTTGACATATTTGCTTATCAACTGGAAATATTATACTCCGTTGAAGTATTTTGTTATAGCGAACAAATTGTTAGATGACAAATCAACTTTTCATAGAAATACGACCACAACTACTTACTTATAAGAGTTGAAATATGTGTATATAGCTGTTTATTTCATTAGGATATAACTCTTACCAGCAAATGTGAATTAATTTACGGAATATCTATGAAGGAGAGTAATATTTGTGCTTGTAAATTAACAAGCCTAACATCCATCTATTGAATATCTCATTATCTTTATGTTAGGCCGTTATACAGACACATTCTTTTCCCACCTTAACAGCCTAAAAAGAAATCTGTAACCCTACCGAAGCAGCTACATTGACGTGGTGGTCGGACATGACTATCGTGATGACCCGACCGAGCTACATTGGCTGGAATATATGTTCCTGAAGGTTCTACCATGACAGGCAGGTCGATTGGAGAACGATGAGACTAAAAGCAGCTACTCAAGGTCTGAGGGCGAAGTCGTACTGCTGACTGCAGAGAGGGGTGACAGTAGTAAGGTGTTTCTCTCGGACAACCAGCATCTCCAGTGATGCTGCCTTCTCACAAGGAAGGAAGGGTTAGAAAAGGTCGACCCTGAAAATGTCACACCTCACCCTACCTCACGGATTTCCGTCTCCCGCGGTAAGGGTGAACAGTAAGGGATTTTAAGAGCGGAGCTATTACTCAAAAAACCTATCATAAAAAGGCCGTGCGTGACCGGCCTCAAGCAGTTGTCCGTTGGGTTCTGCGGTCACGCACCCAGGTCTCTAAGACCAACTCTAATCCACCTTCCTTTTCAGGTTCCTCAAGAAACAACCTTTCACGGTGTGGGCGGCGGGGAAGTAACATCCGCCCTCATACCCGTAACAGCACACGAGACCGAATCGGTCAAAATTAAATCCTTCTTACACCCCCTAATATCTCTCTTATCTCTACATTCGCTTTTAAAGTAACAATTAGGTTTGGCAAACATGACTATGATGAACAAAGCTCGATAAAACCCGACAATTTCTTATCAAAAGCTCCAATTAGCACATTTAGAAGATATGTGACTTATTATCTATTGATGTACCATACTAAATTACCCACTGACATCAAATAAACAAGATGAATAACACAGGAAGAGCGAACATTGTGAATATGTTTGAAAAGACAGATGGAAGAAGTATGTATGAAGGAAAACTGGAGCTCAAGATCTAGGGTAGGATAAAGGGTGAACGAAAATGAGTTAATGTGACTGATTCCAAGTAACTTCATGTCACATTTTCAAACATCAAACAAAAGTCGTGTAGACCGGAACCAACAAGGTTCAGACTAACTGTCAACAACTTTTTGAAATGATGTCATGTTTTGGTTCAGGAGCTCCAAACTTGCTTTCAACCTACTTTTACATCAGCCAACGTCATCTGTTGAGGTAGATGACAGTTAGAAGAAGAAATAATTTAGAGCTGGATAAGAAAATTTGTAGTTCAGGTGGTTGATGATGGTGGAGTTTCCTTCGCTGAACTGGATATTTTGGTTGTCTAGCTTCAATTGTTATTCTGAACAATATCATCAGCACAAACTTCAGGTAGAACGTTGTTTCTTTAAAGAACAAACAGCTAACCGGATTAAATCAATACTAGTTTAAATATTAAAGAGGAATAAAGTAGCCAAAGCTTCATAATCATACAAATTAAATGTAAAGTCAAGTTAGTCGAATTATATTCACAATGTCACAAGATCCATAATAAAAGAGCAGCTATTCAACAATACATTAGGTTAAATATGATCATACACACGTTGAACCCACAATTGGAAATGTATTTTTCCTATCGAATATCATTATTGTTTTAATGAATAGTGAATTAACCAACATTAAATCGTATGTGAAAAACTCTTCAGTTATCATTTCTTCTGATTTTCAAGACTAATTTTGCAGAATCAACATGGAAATGAATAAATTACAAAATATATTAAAAATGCAAAATAATGAATGATACATGAGATCATTTCCAAACAAAACTACTCGAAATATATCCTTAGTAGTCTATTGGACTAACCATCCATCATAGCAACCTGGTACAATTCCTTCTACCAACTCGTATACTTAAATTGTGATTAGACTAATCACTATAAACTATTAGAAGATAGTAAAAGAATGGCACCAACAATATTGAAAGATACAGCGCTATGTTAGTGAAACGACTACGAATGTAATTGAGAGCCAACCAAATTCAACAGCTGAGTAGTCGACTAAAATACAGTAAGCATCCACTGGATGATTTGAGTATTCCGACTTCCATGACGTGATCAGCTGTTGAATACTAATTGCTAAGAGAAGTCTCATTGTAAAACGGAATGATTGCCTTATGATTCAACAGTTCATGAAACTGAATTCAATGTAACAAAAACCATCTCTGAAATTTTTTTGCAGAACAGAGTGATTGTAGATAGTAGTGAATACAAAGGAAGTGTTTCGTCATATTTGCGATTTTTCATTATAACCTACCTCCTAAATCTATGTTGATACTTTCATTGGGACTCGAATCTGATGACTTTTATTACTTTAAGAGCTAATATGTTATCCAGGAAGCTAGAATGTAGTGCCTCCACATATATTCCAGTTCGCTTACATCTAACTTGGTTAAGCCATTTCGATTAATTTATTTAACCAAGCCATTTGTATAACAATAACTCATATGCACCATTGGTATTTTTTATTATCTGGTTCGTATGAGCTTGTACGACTGAGCATTGTTTACGCATACGCGCTTACTGATCCTTTTCGCTTTAATGTTAATCTCTTCATTTCCCCATGAACTCACATGACTTGTCTCGCTTGCTTTTGACCTTGTCAATAATTCGTCGCTTTTATTCATGTGTGTGCATGCCTATTTCACTTGTCATATGTCTGTCTTATTTTTGTCTGACTATATATTCTTAGTCATGCACTATTTCTTTGAGTTGGCTCTTAGCCTTCTCCAATTCGCTCGCATTGTAATCCAAGGAGTTGGCTCAAAAGCCTTCTCCAGTTCACGTCGCTTCATTCGTTTTATTCACTGCTTCTCCGCTTCGCTTTGTGGTGTTTCCCGAATAAACGTATTCATTAATACGAGTTCATGTTCTGATTTATAAACCGAGCTTAAGAACACACAGTAAACCGACACACTACAAGAGTACACAGAGTAGTACATAAGACATTCACAACTTGTACTGAGTTGAATCATATTTTCGTCGATATTCTTGGTTGGTTCGAATTCTTACTATTAATGATATAACTAGTATGCCTGTTTAAATGAACACAATATAACTTGTAGATGAACCTGTTAAGTGTTTGCAACAAAATGTAGTGAACTCCACTCCCAACACTGTGATCCCGCTACAGTCATTCGACTAGCAAGTTCTAAATGAAAAATATGAGTGTCTTGGATTCTATTGCTTGCTACTACCACAAAACATGTGACATAATGACTATTTCAAGGCAATCTCAACAAAAAATCTCTGATAATTTAAATATCAAAATCAATCTAATCTCTACAACCGAAATTTATTTGACTAGAGAAGAGAGGTTACACAATATAGTACAGAGAGCTTTTATTATCATTGATATTCTCGTCAATCAATATGCTTGAATGGTATTACGAGTTTACCTTACTCAGTAACGGAGCGAAGACAAATGAAGCAATGACACGATAGGCTATTCTAATCCGTTTATCCCCTGCCCGACTAACTATATCAAGAAGTCTTGACAAGGCGTAGAAACTGTGTATTCTACAAACACCGAGAAAATACGAGGTCGACAAGCACACAAATCCAGCTAATTTATACAATGATAGGAACGTCCTTGGAACAGCCACACAGAGGGCTAAAATAATCCATCAGCCAATGACATTCAAGGATTTTCCGAGTGTGAAATGCAATCTCAAGGTCAACTGAGCACCTCATGCGCGAAAACACAAAAAACAGCCGAAACTAGAACTTTTTCCAAGTGACGTTTTCTAAGGATCTAACGACCGCAACAATCGTAAAACAAACACATTATAATCTGCAGAAGATTTAATAAAAAACAAACGAAACAGACTATCTGCATCTTTGCATCATTAATGCATGTTTATTATTTATTTCAATTAAAAAAGAAAAAATAAATATATATCACAACCGTACGTAGTACATTCAATAAATAAATAAATTAATTAATTAATAAAAAGAAAATTATAATCGCATCCAGTAAACGAGAGACCAAATATTTAATGCCTACATACACAATAAATAATATTTATTATAAATCAGTCTGTGATTTTGAATTTGTCAATCAAAATAATAAAAATATTCAATCTGACAGTTGTCTTTCTTTATCTACAAATTACTTAAAATGATGATATACATTCAGCTTGACAAAAAAAAGTAAAAAAAAAAACTTTATCATCAACCCAACAGAGAGATAGATCACTATTGTGTATTACACACTGTGTGTACATTCAGTTTTTTTGGTTTGATTAATTAATTAATTTTCACTAATTCAACTTTCCATTCTAATGACCAAGTATCGAAATCATTATCCTAAAAAAATAATGAAAATAGAATAGAATAGAAGCTCAATGTTGAGAAAAATGAAAATATTAAATAAATAAATTAATTAATTACACATTTTTTGAAATCATGAATCGAACAATGTTAGACCACTATTAGAAACCTGCAAGCACTGGACGGTAGTTTCGTCCTGGTATGGGACTCAACAGTGGCAGTGCGCATCCACGACTCCTGCACCGAAACCAGGACCTTCGGCATTGTGCGCGAAGTGAAGTTCAACCTGTTCGGGTGTAGGCAGTATCTACTGAAGAATGTGTATGAGGTTGCGCAACTCCGTGAATTTGATCAAGTTAGACATGAACACCATTAGATATCGGCTCAGTGGTCCGATGATTGGGCGTTCGCGCACAATACCGAAGTCCCCGGGTTCGAATCCTGCAGGGTGCAGGAGTCGTGGATGCGCACTGCTGAGGAGTCCCATACCAGGACGAAAAGCAAGTCCAGTGATTCCAGGTTTCTAATGGTGGTCTAACATTGATCGATTCATGGTTTCAAAAATGTGTAACTTAACAATCTTCACAACCTCGTAATGCAAATTAATTAATTAACGAAACCAGTTTATGCAGTTAAATAAGTTGCAATGAAAATAACTCCGTTTAACAGGGGTGAGATAATTAATTTACCAAGTACAGATTTATGTACTCTGATGTCAACTACACTACATATGGTATGCTAGCTAGGGATGGCCAGACCAACACATGACAGAAATCCATGAAGTCACTGACAAGTGAACTGAGTCATGTTGGTAGATGTAGACTACCTGGTTGGGGTCCGCGAGATGATAATAATCGATGGTTAGAGACCTTGAATGACATGGCTCAAAATCGTTTGCAGTGGCGCCGGTGCATTTATTCTTTATGTTCTCTCAAATCCTAATCTTCTGGATTCTTCAACCCCTCTAGTTTTGACTTTCTAAACTCTTCTCACTGAAGCATACTTCTTGAATAATATCTTCCAATCCTAACCTCTCGGATTACTTCTAATACCTTTACTAACTCTTCTACTATTGGATTCGAATTGACAATTATATCTCTGTGCTGATGTTGTATGGCAACATGAACTGATGTACTTATGTACAAAGTTCTACGTTGCATCTGACTGACTACCTGGTTGGGGTTCGCGAGATGGTAGTAGTCGATGGTTAGAGGCCCTGAAGGATATGGCTTAAAACTGTTTGCAATCGCGCAAGTGCATTCATTCTTTGTGTTCTCGCAAATCCTAACCTTTAGAGTTTCTCATCACCTTTATCTTTTTCCTGATAACTTTATTTCACTAGATTCTACTTCTTGAATAATACCGTCGAACCCTAATCTCTCCGATGACTGATAATACTTTTACCACCTCTACTACTATGGGATTTGAATTGACAATTGCATCTGTGTGCTAATATGGTATAGCAACCTGAACTGATGTACGTACGTACGAAATTCTACGTTGCTGTTGACTGATTCATTATGGTACGCCAGGAATGGTGATACTACCCCGATCGCTCAAACGGAAACAGGATTCGAGTTCCAGAACTTGTGATGTGACGTTGAACGCCAACAAGATCATTATAATCGTAAGTCCGCAAACAGCGATGTTACACAATTATCCAATAGTATTTTACACAGATATTCTAGAAATTCTATCCGGCTGTAATTGGATGGAATCTCTCTGACTTCTTGAGATCCTCTGTAGGCCTTATCGCACATTTTAGGGGCCACCCGAACAAATATGTTATTTCGTTTTGTGGTGATGTTGCTGATACATTCAAGCAGATAATGTCAAAGCGAAAGATAGAATAATCAATAGACAGAAGACTATTACACTCCGTGTTTCAACCTACTTTTAGCGTGTTTTTAATACTGTGAATGGTTTTACAGTAACCTCCGGCATAAATTTCAATAGTCTACATTATTCCACAGCAGTAAAATCACTTCAAGATGTAGACTAGACTGATACTGCGCATAATCAAACGATATATACATAATCTAGTTACATCTTCTACCATGTAAAATGCTGGCGAAGAGAATTTATAGTTTTCTGAACTTTCTGCATGACCTCCAATTAGATAATATATACGCCATTATCATGAAAACAGTTTCCTTACTATAAGGCGATTTTTCCAGTCTGAAATATATAGTCTGAGGCATAAAGCTACAACTCATCCTAGACAACCAATGGAAACCAGGAAGTACTGAACAGCTGCTTCGGCAGTGGGCATTTACAATGACATCAGGGATCGAAACCATGACCTTCAGATCCAATGACCAGATCGTAAAGTGACTTTAATCCCAAGGTAAGGCATGTATCCTTATGGTCAATCTTAAGATGAAAAGGTTATTCACTAGTTCCTAAATACCAATGGTTATCTAAAATCAGTCTGTGATAGAATCTAAAGCGTATTATCGTAATTGACAGTGGAAACGAGAAACAACAAAAGTTTACTTATATTTACAAATATTTATCTATGAAAAATGTAATGCTGATACCTTTTGTCGAAATAGTTGAGCTTGTTGCCAAGCCACAGAAGATGACTTTTGACTAGATTCATTATCACTCCATAGACGAGCTTTTAAAGTCAAAAAATCCGCTCCAACCATAGATTCTGAATTGAATAATGATGCTGAACCTGGGTGAAGACATAAACATGAACTAGGAGCCGATTGCGGTTTTTCACTTTCATCATGACCATTACCACTACTACTACTACTACTAGCCGGATATTCACCAGAACACAGTACTAAACGAGCATGACTTTCAGTTGAATGACAAACCATATTTGTAAATATAGAAACCTGATAGAAACGAAGAAAAAGTTGAAAACGTGAAATGAACTAGATAACAGTTATATATATATATATATATATATATATATATATATATATATATATATATATATATATAATTATATGGCAGATCAATAGATGAAGTATTGAAATTCCATCAGTTGAGGTATATCCTCGTATATCCCGGTACAAACGGGTAAGCAATGCTGTTGTTAGGAAACGGCTTCTAGGTAAGGATCGTAGGTCAATAGATGAAGCATTGAAACTCCATCAGTTGAGATGGTTGGGAATGTGTTACGTATGCCTAACCTCCAACTGCCGCGACCAGCAATGTTTTGCATTGTAGGATTAAGTTGGAAGAAAGTTAGGGGCGGCCAAACCAAAACAGCAGAAATCCATGAAATTACTGACAAGTGAACTGAGTCATGTTGGTAGGTGTCGACTACCTGGTTGGGGTCAGCGAGAAGATAGTCCTTGAACGACATGGCTCAAAATCGTTTGCAATGACACAGGTGCATCCACTCTTTGTGTTCTAGTCTACAGAATTCCTCATAATCTCTATCTATCTCCTTCTAAATTTATCTCACTGAATTATACTTTTCGAATCATATCTTCGCTCCCTAATCTTCCCCATTACTGCTAATAATTCTACTATCGCTATTACTCTTGGATTTGAATTGACAGTTGCGTCTCTGTGTGCTGACGTGGTATGGCAACCTGAACTTATGTACTCATATACGAAGTTCTACGTTGTAACTGACTGACTGACTACTGACTGAAAATTCAATAATTTCATCAGAGATCGGATTCAAAACCTTCCAGTCTTGATTCAAACAGACCTACAGGCTGACTCTCTGGTTAATAATGCTTTCTTTATTTACTCATACAGAGACAACTACTCCATAAAAGTGATAAACAGATAGGTCCACACACACACACACACGCATACATGAAAGCATTCATCAAAAGTCAACAAACAACCTTTACAAAGTATTCATTGTTACTTACTTTTCCAACACGATAATTTGTATTTCTTAAATCAAGCATCCAAATAATTATTCCATCTTCTGAAGGTTCACAGTCCTCTTCACGTGCCAAATAAACCATATGCCAATCATGTTCCACCTATAGTTAGTTATACAAAAGAATAAATTAATAAAAATCTATGTAAGTAAAATTAGTCAATAAACTACTACTTTATCACTTTATCATAAACACTGAAAAAATACTTTGTCAATGTTGCATTCTCTGAGCTAAAAATAATTTAATTGAAATTTCACTGTGGTTTTGGACAATTAAATTATTATGGAAAAGTAAGCTTTTTTCAGTTATTTCATAAGTATATTTCTCTATCAGTAGGCTCGAATGGCATGGTTAAAATAATTGGTTGTTTTTTCGAAAGTTTCATTGAGTTTAACTGTCCTTTCACTCAGAGTTGATTATGTTCGTTTGGTTAACCTCTAGCCTTGTGATAGATTGAACTGTTTAGTACGAGTTGGTAGAAAAGTTCTATGCCAACACATCCATTGACTGACAATTGATTAGAATACCATCATACCTATGAAGGATAATAACCCTAATTCAGGTCTCATATGGTTGAAAAATAAACATTTCGACATTGAGAAAAAATCATTACCCGACATGAGACAAAAAGTGATAAGAGTGTTTGAGCATATTGGCATCAAGCTGGGCTGCATCTCTTGCTATCTTATGCCATAATATGTATATACCGTATGCTATACCGCTATAAAGAGCTGAAGGTTTCCTATGAGATTAGAGGTTTGTTGTGAACATTGTGGAGGCTTGCTTGACGTTGCTTGGGCAAGTATTCCTAACAGTTTATATACAAACATGGTTAGCTAGGTGACCGATTTCATTGATACTGGTGGTTGTTTTGCAACATTCCCGAGGGCCATTGCCAGTGGGTGTTGTATTGCATATCATCATTGCTAATAATAATGAGTTTGACAGTCATGTAAACAGGATAAGTCAAATTGGCCTGCTGACGCGGTGCATATTGACTGACGCGATCATGGATCGTAACTAATCACTATATATGTACTAGTAAATATAAGCGGTGTAAATGGTCCATCAGAGTGTCAGGTACCTATGTGATTGAGCCATTGGATTGAACCGATCTGTTCACGTTGAAATGTTAACACCAGGGTAGTCTCATTGGTTCTCCTGAAAACCATTGTAAAATTGCCCTTGCCAATAGAGGGTTAACTTGTATAAACCATACCTATAGAAAATTCCAGGAATTATTAGAGATTTCCTTATTCATATATTGCAGTTCAATAAAGCAGAAGTGCTTCACTTATAGTAAGGAGAATTGTAGAGATAGTTGAATTTTGTGAACTTTTTTCTACCATACTCACTGAATTCTTAGATATCTATTAGATGCCACAACAGAGTGGTTCAAAGGCTAGGAACACGTTGAAAAACCTGAAGATCTTGAGCTCAACCCATGGAGGGGTCGTTGTGGATAGACACTACTGAAGAGTCCCATACTAGGATGAGACAGCTGTTCAGTAATTCCTGGTTTTCAATGGTTGTCTAACGTAAGTCAATCCGTTAAATGGAGAAATAAAAAAATATATGTATATTTACCACTCCTTTCTGTGATTTTTAAACATCTAGGAGTTAATTGTAAATGAAGTTAGAGTTGTACACTATCGGATCCCGATTCAGTGGTTTACAGGCTAAGCGATTGCGTATGAGACTGGAATTTTTGAATTGGATCCTTGGTGTGTACAACTGAGTCTCATACTGAAACAAGGTTTTTTAATGCTTGTTTTACACTTGCTCATTGTTTCAACAGACTTCACAAACCCTGTACTGATAATCGGAAATCAGTTGAGAAAATCAGATTTCATTCTATAATGACTGGACTAGGCATTTTACATAAATTGATCAATCATCAATAAGATAAGGATATTCAAAGTAAGAAAACTTTACAACCTGATTCATATGACAGAACATATAGTATAATGTGAAGCATATAAAGTTTTAAAACGAATGATTATTTATCTTATTGGACTCAGTAACTATTATTATTATTATTCAGTCAATTAGTCAGTCAGTCAGTCACAACGTAGAACTCCGTACGTAAGTACATCAGTTCAGATTGACATACAACATTAGCACAGAGACGCCACTGTCGATTCAAATCCCATAGTGGTAGAGATAGTAGAAGAATAAGCTGTAAAGGAGAAAATTAGGGATCGAAGATATTATCCAAGAAGTATAGTTCAGTGAGATAACTTTAGAAAGAGAAAGATAGGGACGATGAGGAATTCTGAGGACTAGCATTACAGAGAACACAAAGAGTGGAAGCACCTATGCCATCGCAAACGATTTTGAACCATGTCGTTCAAGGATTATCTTCTCGCTGACCCCAACCAGGTATTCGACACCTACCGGCATGACTCAGTCCACTTGTCAGTGATTTCATAGATTTCTGCCATGTTTTGGTTTGGCCGCCCCTAACTTTCTTCCAACCTACTCCTACAATGCAACACATAGCTCGTCCAGGCAGTTGATGGTCGGGCATTCGTAACACATGTCCCGACCACCTCAACTGATAAAATTTCAGATCCCCAATAATGGCTGCTACTAAAATGTTTAATTTAATAAAGGAACAAATTTAAAAAATATGTAAGAACTAATTAACCTTTCGAAAAATGTTTCTCCATTGATAGACCATAGATTGCCATCCATATAAACCAGTTTTTCGAGCATTTTCAATCAATTTATTTGGTTCTTGATTCAACATTTTCGGTGAATTCGTAGAACATTGAAAGTTAACATCTGTTTTGGCATTGTTATCATCATTGTGATAAAGACGTTGATAGATATTTAAAGCTGAATTATAACGTACATGAAATATTCCATTATGAAGTTCCGAATCAGATGGACAAATAATATACTTTGACCTTTTTTATTGAAAAGAAAAGAGATTCATTCAAAGACATACAAAATATAGTTAAACAAAATAATTTTTTTAAAAAAACACTGCAACAAAGGATATTAATAAATAAGCATGTAATAGCGATAGTAGTAGTAGTGTGGTGCGCGCTACTTATAAGTGGTATATGACGCGAGTGTAGACGTAATATCTGACAGCAGAAGATGGGGGAAGATCAAGAAAGGAAGAGTGGGAACACAATGGAATTTGTGTGAAACGCATGAATAGTGAAATGTCAGACAATGGATTGATGATGGATTGATGATTTGCAAATGAACGATTTACGATATGGTTTTCCTATTTTACTGAGTAACTCTGTACTTTTCGTTAAATACAATTCGGTTGCCCTCACCTGTGTTCTCCTTCATTACAGTAATAGTAGTAGTAACAGTATTAATATTTGCAAATAATATTGAATGTAGACTAAATTTTTTTATTCTAAACTTGTTTGTCAAATGATCTAAGGCGATGATTTTGAACATTGAACGCTACTTAAAGTAATAAATTTTAGGAAAAAATGATGAATAAAAACTATACCCCAAACCATTTCATAAAAAATGTTCGGGGGAAAGTGAAATTCTCTGAATAATCCTATCTGAAGTTACTGTTTATATCTTTGGCTGCATCATATATCACATATTTTAAAAACAAATTATCGTTGTTGGTTTAACCTTTCACAATCGAATAAGCAATGCAGTTGGTTATTTTTACCGTCATAATATAATGATATTAAAACAACTAGTATAAACTAGAAGATAGGACCTACCCTTTAAGAGGTGGTTCAACAGACAGAGAAGTTTGACCCAGTTCACCACGAGCTTGACGCCATTCCAGTGAACCAGTTTGACGACCTGGAAGTTGACCATCACATTTTGGAGGATTGAGAAAAGTTATTAATTCATCAATAATTGAATCCCAACAATATGGTTTTTGGTCAATATTAATTGGATTATTGGAAAGTGACCAATTTCGGATAGCAGTAGTGTGAATTTCGGCTAATTTATACGCCAATGTGGATTCCCTAATCATATTCCGACGGGATTGTACCTACACACAGGGAGTGGATAAAAAAAATTGTGTGGAAATTATGCCGCTGAGTTTTATACCGAACGTGTATGTGTTAGAAAATTGTATATATATTATGTAGACTAGATCATGAAATGATACCAAACAAAGATCTATACTGAACTATGAATTCTTACTGCGTCAATTCTTCATCTATTACAAAATTAAACAACAGAAAGATCAATTTCATAGCCAAGAGATTAGAGCTAATTTATTACACATCACCATATACAAACTTTCTATGAGCGAGGCTCAATCAGCTACTTTTGAGTGAGAAAACCAAGGATGAAAAAGAAGCTTCGTTAACAAAAGCCCTTAGAAAGTTAAGTCACATGTCTAAGTAATGGCGTGTAGTAGAGTTTATTAGTAAAGGAAACCAAATCCTGGCCAATAGCGTGCGCTCTAAATTTGGCTGATATCTAATTGACTCATTGTCAGTTTATACATTAATTGGTTTGATGATGTTATATATTCTCTAGATCTTAATACGCAATTAGGACTTGCTCAGTTAACTCAAGTTAGATATGCAGACGTCAACCACGTATAACCGTGGGATTCAAGATAATAGAGACCATCAACAGGAATTCAACTCAACAGATTAGTTGAAAGCTACTTATCAGTGGATGACAAAAAAACTATCTGTTTAGTTTTGCCAAATTATTAACAACTCATTTACCAGCTACGGATTAGTGTAATTGGCTTTGAAGCAGACTTTAAGTGTGAGAGCCAGTTATACTGCCTATGTAGGAAGAGTAGCGTTCGAACCCGAAACCTAATCAAGCCCCTTTAACCATCGAGTTACTACTCCATTAATTCTAATTCGAAGTAATTCATGTGAGCAACAAAGTAAACCATCACTGGAAATCTCCCAGGTTAATAATACGAGTAATAAGTTAATTTGGTAAGCAAGTGTAATTCTTACTGGATAGATACAAATAGTCGATATGAAGAGCGAGAATCAAGCGTAAAAGACAGTCAGTCAGATGCAACGTAGAACTTCGTACAAAAGTACATCAGTTCATGTCGCCATACCACACCAGCACAGAGAAGTAATTGTCAATTCAAATCCAATAGTAGAAGAGTTAGTAAGGGTATTAGGAGTAATCGGAGAGGTTAGGATGAGAAGATATTATTCAAGAAGTATGATTAAATGAGAAAAGTTTAGAAAGTCAAAACTAGATGTGTTGAAGAATCCAGAAAATTAGGATTTGAGAGAACACAAAGAATAAATGCACCGGCGCCATTGCGAACGGTTTTGAGCCATGACATTCAGGGTCTATAACCATCGATTATTATCATCTCGCGGACCCCAACCAGGTAGTCGACAACTACCGACATAACTCAGTTCACTTGTCAATGACTTCATGGATTTCTGCCATGTTTTGGTTTGGCCGACCCTAACTTTCTTCCAACCTATTCCTACACTACAAAACAAAGCTCGACGAGGCACTCGGTGGTTGGGCATACGCAACACATGTACCAACCACCTCAACTGATGTAGTGTCACTACTGCGCCTATTGATCTGCCATTCTTACCTAGCACCCGATTCCTAATAACAGCGTTGCTCACTCGAGTGTCCCACGGTATTCGAGCAATGCTTCGAAGACACCTATGATCGAAAACCAGTAACCTACGAATATCTTCTACTCTCACTGGCCATGTTTCACAGCCATAAAGTAAGACGGAGCGAACCACTGCACAGTACACTCGTCCTTTAGTCAGCAAACGTTTATCTTGCCTGCACCACAAGTGACGCAGGTTGGCAAAAGCCAATCGAGCATTCTGTATCCGAGCTGAGATTTCGTCAGTCACCAGGCCGTCGGCACTGATGAAACTCCCAAGATAAGTGAAGCGGTCTACACGCTCGACTACTTCACTCCCTATCACTAGTCCAGGTGCCGATGCAACCCAGTCTTGAAGCAACATTTTGCATTTCGAGGGGGAAACCGCATACCGAACATGCTTGCATTGTTGCTTAGGGTAGTTAGAAGAATCTGCATTTTTTCAGCGTCTTCACCAAGTAGGACTACGTCGTCGGCAAATTCTAAGTCAATAAGCGTAAAAGACAGGTCGTAACTAGCCTGTAAGTGAACAACCTACAGAGCTGATAATCTCCAATGGTTCATGATATTTAATCCTACTATTTTCCTGTCAATATATAAATGGAAAACCTTTTCTTCCTGAATGTTGTTAGTTCACTGAAAAGTTTGAGTAATTAATCCCTGGCCTTGAGAATAGTTACCAACCACTCAACGATATCATATTATTGAACAAGAAACTCTAATCATTTATTTTAACAATTATATGCAACGATCATCATTCATCGTTAAGCGTTAACCATAACAATACCATATGCAACTGTTCAAATCAAAATCAATGTAGTGTATGGCATATTTTAAAAGAAATTTCAATGTTTCATAAGAGAAATTAACAAGGAACGATTCTGAATAAAACATCATATTAACTGACTAAATAAAACAGAAAAATTTTAACAATTTTGCATATTTTTTTCAGTAAACTCGATCAGCCTAAAAATCTGTCTAGGTCACAATGATCATCATGTTTCTTGATACATTGTGTGTATTGTACGACAACTAAACACTGATGAATTGTGTAGTACAGTTCGATTCATTCCAAAATTTAAGGCAATTAACAATTGTTCTCAAAAGTTATTGCTTTAGTGATATAATTTGCTTTGACCTGGTTTCTTTTAAATAGTTACAGATCTAATGACTGAAACTGTTCAAAGAGTTTATATTATCTCGATGTTTTAATGTTTCATAATCTACATCAGAGGTTGAAAAACAGAAAGCACTAAATGGCTGTCTCATCTTATTGTAAGACTCCTTCCTCAGTAGTATGTATTCATGATTCCAATGAGGGTCAAGTTTAGCGTCTAACCTTTTAAACCACAGCTGGTATGCCTTGATTTTTCTTATCTTCAGAACAAAGAGTTAACAAGTAAGACTCAAAAATTTCCAAACGTTTATTATCAATTAATTTCCAGAGAACAATCAACTTTTCTATAGAATTATTCATGAATTGGTGAAACTCTTTATCTGGACACGTTTCATTTGTCAATATATATGTTGAAAAGATATTTGGTTTAACCAAGATATCTGTAAGGTTCGTCACTTAGTCTGCTTGAAGCTATTACGAGTTTGCCTTAGTCGATAAACGTGAACGAGACTTTTACCAGCGTCCAGGTAGGCTACCTTGAATCCAACGGGAAAACAGAAGTCGTGGTAAGCGTAGAAAGTATATTCTACAAACACCCAGCAATCACAGTACAATCAAGCATACAACTCTCATTTATTTAAACATCATAGAAACGTCCTTGAGACAGTTAAGAAAATAGCATACTAAAATACACGGCAGCCAATCACAGCCATCGATTTTCCTGGTGGGAATTGAAATCTCAAGGTCAAATGATCAGCCCATGCTGGCAATCGTGAAAACCAAAATAAGGCATTATCAGGCGAATTTTGGGGATCTAACATCCCCAACAATATCCATATAACTAGGAATACTACAGACCATCTAGTTTCTGATCTTTTCTTAAACAAAAATTAAAAATTTAAAATACCTACTGACATATCTAATTAAACCTGTTGGAGTGGATAGGAAAAAAAATAAACATAAAAGATGACAAAATGAAACAAACTGACTTCTCGAAATTTCTGTGTATAACGCCACGTTACATCTTGTATATCCACAGTGAATAGATTCTCAGTGTTATCCGATTTTTGATGTAATAATCGAGGTGGTACTGTGTAGGCCATGATATAATTCACTTTTTTATTCCATCCAGATTCGTATAATAGTGGTTTGTCTAATTGTACTTCACATGGATCACAGTGAACCCAACGTTTTTGATTAGTATATTTATCATTCAACCAGCTACATAGAAATAAATGTTTGTGAAAACATGAGAAGATACCATATCAGGAAGAACATTGGAGAAGTCATAACTTCCAGAACTGAATTATGGATTATTATGGTACATACTCTTCTTGTTTGATTAATAAACTATATATATATATATATATTATATACCAATTAATTATTCAGTCTCCCATATTCACAGCCAATTTTGACTTTCTGAGGTATAAATAATCTATTTTCTCATTTTACGGTGTGATGTGCTTTAATATAACTTGTATATAAACAACGTCAGCTCGAATTATAAATATAGTGGAGGCTTGTTATCGACTTCTGGATTATAAATAGGCAAGGTAAAAAGGAAGAAGCTATGGAGTTGTGAACCAATAAGGATTCAGAGTTGACTCAATGTTATCGGTGCCAAAAATGGAATTCTGATTGATGTTTTGTTTTACCTTACATGGCTTCGGTTAACAGTTAAGGACATGATAATGTTGTAGTTTAGTGTAATCAACTTATTACTTTAAAGTTTAAAAATTCTGTACGTATATCATTAAACAGAGTAGTAGTGGTTTAGTCACGACGACAGGGTGGATTAATGATTCGAAGACTCAACTTGTAACTAACTAGTAAGCCGTAGTTTTGAACTATATTGTAACAACATCATTCTTTTATCTGGATAATCAGATAGCATCAGTATAAATAATATACTCCAAACTGAGTATAGACCTCGGTACTTGGTAAATGAGGTACATTGCTTTATTTGACAATTGTAGATCACATTATGTAGTATGTTATCATAAAATTGGAAATTTAACTAAGCATATACTATCACATACTTATATAAACAGTAGAATACGATAAAACAGTTAATACCAGACGGAAATTAATGAGAATTCATTAGAAATATAAATAAACACCCTTAAATGTGGCTATAAATTCAATTTCTAATAAATTGTAATCATTAACTTCTCAACAGGAATATACCGACACACTACTGCCACATGCTGTTATCTTTATCTACACCGTAAAAAAAACATTTCTTCATCTAAATCATTCAGACTGCAAATAATTCAGTGTAAAAAAACAAAAAACGTTTGTGGATAATTTCACCACGCTGCTTTTAACAAACTACTCTCTTTCAATGTACTAACTACCTTTTATCCGAGTAAATGTAATGTATGCATGCTTTCGGGATAACTCGATGAAAGTGGAGACTTATTAAAATAAAATAAATAATTCTGTATTTCACCATAACCTTCTGAGTGCCCATTCTGAATATCTGAACATCTCGTAGAGTCAATATGTAAAGTAATGATATTCAAAATGAACATTTTACACTGGCTGAATCACTATTCATCCATTTGTACATAAGTATTTTCAACGTACTACATACTACATTTTACTAAAACGTTTACTACTCTAAACTATTAAGAGATATCATATATTTTATACTTTACATCATGAACTGGTCTTAGTTAGACAGGCATTTGAAAGAAGTAAGCACTGAACAGCTGCTTCGTCCTAGAACGAGGCTTCTCAACAGTGAGCAACTACAATCCCACTGAGGAGTGAACCCAGAACTTTGGATAACTGGAATGTTATCCAATATTATACATGCTGAAATTCAACATAATCGTAACATTGCCCAAATATCTTTCCATATCATGACCGATAACTGCTTCATGCTTGACAAAGTTTAACTTCATTAGTCATGGCTTCTAACTAGAACTCAAGGAATTATCATTTGACATTGGTCACTAGTGACCGTATGATCATTACTAACGTATACTATCTTTTAAATAAAGATATATACTAGAAATATTCAATACACTATGATAATGAAATATTTAAATAGCACAGAAACAGATAACGTCAGATATTTCTGTCACTTTTCATACGAAAAAACTATACATACGAGTTTATATGTTCTAAATTATTTTAATCTCATAAGAATTCACTAAAATAATCAACTGAATAACAGTACTAATCAAAACATACACTTCACACCAAACATGATCTGTCCAATCCATGATAAGTCGACATGAATCAAACCAAGGTTGATTAGTGCGACGTTCAGCGGAAACAAGAAACAACGTGAAACAGTTAGCCCATTCACCACATCTTCCTAGACGAGTTTCAAGTAATTTTCTCGGATGGTTATATCGAGGAAAACGATATAATGGATGAGTTCCATTTGTTTTGCATTTGTAAATCTCTACTACACTAGCATCGCCATCATTGATTTCATCCGGTTGAGGTTGGTCGTTTGAGAATGCAACCATCTTACCCTAAAATTAAATCAGTGGAAATTTTACAAGTATAAAACAACACTTCAGGGTACAGTTACATCTTTCAGGAAAAACATTTATGAGAGCAAGCTGTCAGCATCCCATTATATATGGCATTAGGAGAATTGATTAATACGAACCTCTTATCAATCATGCTTTAAAAAGCGTTATACCCTCTAAAGAGATTGGCGGCTATCTCAATAGGTCACTACTGGATAATCGGTTGCAGTTTGAATTGTAAATTAATGGGATTTAAGTTTCAGTGTGAACACTGAACACTTGTTTGGATGAGTGTCAAATAGGATGAAACGTACTTGCTGGGTTCCACCACTAACCACAATTCACATACATTCTAAAACTTGCTGCAAAACATCTATATTTAGCCAACCAGTACAGGATGCATATATCCCAACAAACACTAATTCCCAATTCAGTCATGAATACCAACAGTGAAATAATTCAAACACTTACTAATGATATTTTTCCCTAAAAAAACACTTATTTCTATTATTACAGTAATGGGCACAATGCACTCATAAAATATATCCACTGTTTATTGCACATAAATTTAAAAGAAACACACCAGTAAGCCTAGATTTACAAACGCTTTCTATATTATCGATTATGTTTGATTAGACTGATATGACAAGCACTAATTCACAATAATTAATTAGAAATGTAACAACACAGTAAATCTAACGATTAATCGTTTGTTATGATACTTCAGTTCGATATCGATGTATGCTCGTGAGTAAAAACATTGTTGTATTCGATACGACAATATGCATACATGCAATATTTGATAGGTTACTCAACAATACATAAAGACTTGATTGGATGTTAGATGTGTTGCCTCTCCCCATTACATCAGGTGTTATACCCAGTTATTTCGACTGTATATTCATCACTTTAATTTTTTGACCTTTTTAAGTGAGCTTTGTCAATAAAAATCCCTCTTTTTTATCAATACGATTTTCCCCTTCTCCGAAATTACATAGCTGTGAATTTCGAACGATGAAAGTTAGGTAAGTGTACACGGAATAATAAGAAAGTTAAGGAAAACTACACCATCTGTAAGGCCCCGGAAAAGAAAACTAGATTAGTAAATTAGATAAAAATTAGTAACTAACTCGTATACGTAATCGTTTCTATTTCAGAGAACTAATTAAGTAACGAATAGCTTAGCCTCTCTAGGTGTAACGTCCAACAACTACTTTCGACTTTTGAACAAAACATGGCCTTGTTTGAAACAAATATAGAGCAAGCCTAACTACTAATCATACTTATTATTTTCTATCAAATGTATCTTGTCATTTAAATTGGAAACAATGGAAAATTTATACACGCAAAAATGGAAATGTAATTGATAAAATTTAAGTCGGAAACTATAAGCAGAAAACTTACGCCACAGGTTTTGCATGTGAAGTCATCAGCCCATTTAAAAAATTCACTCTTAAACCAAACTAATAGCTCTCGTAGAAAATCTCTTGGTTCCACATCATCCACAGAACAACCATTGTTTTGAGAGGCGGATAAAAGAAGCTGTTCAGTGGGAATTAATTTTCGAGCCCGAGCCTAGTAATTATAAATACAAAATAAGATGAATTAATCTTTGTGTTGTGATATTGTGAATTATACAGGGGTCTCCCTAGACGAAATCGTTGGTTAAACAAATACTTTCCTACAAATGTTTCGACTGACTGATAGCTGATATTGATCATTCGAGTCGACAGTTGCAACAGTAGTTAGGTGTTTAAAGAAGAAATTTAACATATAAACGCATCGCTCCCTACCAAGAACGACTGAACTAAAATTAGGTTGAAGTTGAACATAGAATAACTACTGTTAGTAAGGTTTTGAAGCCTTATTATACGATCAACAACAATCTGACCCAATGAACGGCACTGACCAGTACAGGATTAGGTCAGAAGCCCATGAAGCCATTCACTGTTGGTTAAAGCTATGTGATAGATGCAGAAGGCCTGGTTAGGGTTCGTGCGATAGCTGCTATCAATAGATGGAGATACTTGATGCCATGAGTCATAGTCGACAGCAATGGGATAGGTGTAGTAACTTTTCGGTATTATTTAAATTTTAAGTTCTAATATCGTTTCATAATTCATAATCCTTTAATACATACCTTTTATTTACACAACTACCTGCTAGATTAACCAAACAAGCATGTTATGTACACATAATCTATGCATAGCTTACCTGTAATTCCGAATTCATATAGTTTACAACAAAAGATCGATATCCAAGCAATCGATTAACAAAATTTAATTCAGACTTTCTCAGTGTCAGAATGTCTTGATCTGCTGGCACAGAACTAGCGGGCTAAAATTAAATTCAAAGTTGCATATCTGTAATTGATGAATAAATAATGATGATTACAACAAAACATATCAATAACTCCTTGAAACTGATGATTTAAAGTGTCACAGTTTCTCTGCCAGGTAACCGTAATGTCACTTACATAAATAAACCAACATAGTAAACTGGTGATACTCGCCGCTAGTCAACGAGAATAATAACAACATAACTTACTTACCAAATGTATCTTCGAAACCTCGGATTTCTGAGACCTAGATTGTTTGTATTACGGGTAGAAATGCTACTCAACTGACCCAATAGAAATAGATAAGAGGGAATTCAAACCTGACTCAGTGGTTAACAGCCGAGTGATTCAATCACTAAACCAATGAACCAAACGATACATTATTATTAAGTGAAATACACGGTCACACAGGTTTTAGTTCCTTTTGATGTTCTTCTAAAGCATTCTGGTCCTAACTGCTATAACCTTAAGATTTTTCGCTTAGTAATGAACTGTCAAATTGTATCCAGCCAATTCGCTTTTTATTCCAACTAAAACGCTAATATAAAACAAACATGTTGTTTTCCCTATAAAGATAACTATAAATCATTAGAAACGTGTTTAGGTCTACTGATTTTCGTTTAAAACGTACTCGATAACGATTATTGTGTAGTTATTTTGATGGTTGCATTACCTCAGAAAAAGTTGAGTTCGTGTGATTATAACTAATGACATATGTGCTTCGTCTAAATTCATTCATATATAGACAATTACAGTTATTAGCTACCCCAACTACTAAATGGTTAATTAAGTATACAAAACACGGAGTATTTGATAATAATATACTAATATACTAAATCTCCTCAAACGATCTGATACTACCAGTGTGTGACTTTTCGCTTTAAATAGTCACATGTTTGAATATACATACTCCATTCAAAGGAAGTTTTAGCGTTTCAGTCTCAGCTATTTACACAAATTAAATGAGGAAAGTAAGAATTTTCAGATTAAACCAAACTAGTAGACACAAAGGGATCACTTGAAGGATCTATAAAAAAATTTTCTTCAATCAATGTTGTCCATTGGTTTTAAGGACTAGGACTAACTGATGTAATGTAGCACGTTTGGAATACCAACAATTATAGTATTGCATCTCTCAACCCTGATTTTACCATTGTTGTTCGTAGTATCCCAGAGGTCTTGCAGACTCGACAAGCATACGTCTTCTGTGTTCATTCAGGGATTCTGTAGCAGCACTTGTAGTCAGTCATAATGGCACCAATAGCATACAAAGCCAAAGCAGTGGTAACTAATTTTTCCGTTAAAAAATGTTTACAAGTTGCTGTGCTAACACTCGTAGGCTTGCTATATTTTAGACTGAATAAAACACTAGATGTATTGTATGAGTCTGTAATTAAAAATGATTTAGATGGTCCTATGAGAAACTGTAGTGAGCAACGTCCTATAATTTAAAAAGGCAACATTGATGTTTTCCATATAGGTAAGAAAGAATAAACTTCTAACCTATCCTGACTTAGTGACTTCGTACATCTAAATAATTAATCTGGCTTTATTGTAATAACTTTGAGACTAACATCAAAATACATAACCAAATGATATCAATCTCTACACGCAAAGTAAACAATCAACCATTGTTAAACTCTTAGTAAAGAGACAGTTAAATATATTAATGGGGTAAAATATGCGTGAATTAAGACTGAAATCATGCTTCAAGAGTTAACCAGATACGAACCAACTTTAGTACATGTATAAAAATATTGACGCCTTAATTTATATTAATCACGGAACTAGACAAAAACCATATATATTCGGTTTGGTGAGAAATGAGGTGTTAAAATAGTGCCATAAAGCAACACAACTAATGAACAAATAGTTGAGCAAATCAACCAATATGATGTGTGCTGTTTTATTTTTAGAAATCACTGAAACATACCAAACAAGATTTCAGCTGGGTGAATAACTCCTTCAGACGAGAGACATCAAAAGTAGCTGGCAATATAAAGGCATCATCAGCCTCCTTAAAAAAGGAAAGATGTAATAACAATAAAAATGTTATATATATATATATATATATATATATATATATATATATATATATATACATGAATTCGAGTCAAAAAAGATGGCAAGCTTTGGGTCGCTAGTATTATTAACTTGCCTTAATGAATACAGTCAATAAAGAACGCTTAAATACTGACAATATACTAATCATGACAACAGAAATTTTCTTACGAGAACTAGACCTTATCCCATGACAAAAAAGAACGAGGCTACCAAATATACACGTTACTAGATCATTCAGTCAGTTACAACGTAGAACTTTGCACTTAAGTACATAAGTTCAGGTTACCAGACAACATTAGCACACAGACGCCACTGTCGATTCAAATCCCATAGTGGTAGAGATAGTAGAAGAATAAGCTGTAAAGGAGAATATTAGGGATCGAAGATATTATCCAAGAAGTATAGTTCAGTGAGATAACTTTAGAAAGAGAAAGATAGGGATGATGATGAATTCTGAGGACTAGCATTTCAGAGAACACAAAGAGTGGAAGCACCTACGCCATTGCAAACAATTTTGAGCCATGTCGTTCAAGGTCTCTATGCATCGGTGACTTTCGTCTCGCGGACCGCAACCAGGTAGTCTACATCTACTATCATGACTCAGTCCACTTGTCAGTCATTTCAGGGATTTCTGACATGTTTCGGTTTGGCCATCCCTAACTTTCTTCCAACCTACTCCTAAACCACAAAACATAGCTCATCGAGGCAGTTGGAGATTAGGCATACGTAGCACATTCCCAACCATCTCAACTGACGGGGTTTCAATACTTCATCTATTGTCCTGCCATCCTTACCTAGAAGCCGTTTCCTAACAACAGCATTGCTTACCCGGTGGTCCCAGGATATACGAGCAATGCTTCGTAGACACCTATTATCGAAAACAAGTAACCTACGAATATCTTCTACTCTAACTGGCCATGTTTCACAGCCATAAAGTAGGACGGAGATAACTGCTGCACAGTACACTCATCCTTTGGTTAGCAAACGTATATCTTGCCTGCACCACAAGTGACACAGGTTGGCAAAAGCCAATCGAGCATTTTGTATCCGTGCCGAGATTTCGTCAGTCACCAGGCTATCAGTGCTGATGAGACTCCCCAGATAAATGAAGCGATCAACACGCTCGACTACTTCACTCCCTATCACTAGTTCAGGTGCCGACGCAACCCAGTCTTCAAGCAACATTTTGCATTTCGAGGGGGTGAACCTCATTCCGAACATGCTTGCATTGTTGCTTAGGGTGGTCAGAAGACTGCATTTTTTCAGCGTCTTCACCAAGTAGGACTATGCCATCGGCATATTTCAAGTAAATACACGAGCCTCCTGGCAGAAGGTCCACTCCTGAAAATTCAAACGAAGATAATGTTATATCTAGAAGCATGTCTATGACAAAATTTAACAAGAATGAGGAAAGTGGACATCCCTGACCGATACCACTTGAAGTAATCAATTCCGATGACAGTTCACCATAAGCTCCAACTCGACCTGTAGTGTTCGAGTAGAGAGCTTGTATAAGGTTGATGTACTTCTTTGGTACACCTTTCAATGACAAACACTGCAACAGAACCTCGCGATCGACGGAGTCAAATGCCGCCTTAAGGTCCAGGAAGACAAGTATGGTCGGACGCCTAAATGTGTGTGTTATAGGACTTGTCGTAGTGTAAATATGTGGTCCATGTAGCTAAGTCCGGGTCTGAAACCAGTCTGGTTTTTTCGAGTCTGCCCTTCACGAGCTTTCGTTAAGCATCGAAGTATTGATGACGCCAATATTTTAGAAACTATATTGGTTAGGTTGATTCCTCTGTGATTGTCACGAGAAGACTTTTGTTCTTTCTTGTAAATTGGGACAATAAGCGACTGAGACCATCAGATGGGATTACGCCCAGTGTTACTAGATATAGCTTGCCTGTCAGCCATAAGGTATAGAATCGTTGTCACATAACAATGAAAGTATAATCAGAAACCTGCAACTCGTAGAGTTACGTTCGGCACTCATGATGCATACTATGGTAGTTAGATCCGGAAAACCAGGGTAACTAGGCTAAGATACAACGTCAGCTCACCAAATACTAAATACATTACAAACGCGTGTAGATCACCTAAAATGTGGTCAACTTAATTGTATAAACTACTGATTAAAGGCCGCAGGTAATTTATTAAGATAAACATGGACTTAAACATTGTTTTAATTTATATCCTGATCCTTAATATTTTGCCTCACTAGAGTCGTAACCTTTCTTTTATTTTAAAGAAAGTTTGTTTTTCTTAGTTTTGTTTTTTGACGTTTCAGGTTGGTGTTTACAACCTAAGGTCTTCAAGCAGATGTCAACCTCAGAAGTATAAAGGTTGAACTCGGCACCTACACCTAACAATACCCTTAATTACAACTTTGAATTCAGGGACTGAAATTTTAATAATTGACCATCTAGACACGATCTATTTTACATTATTTCGCAACCACGAAACAAAGCAAAACATTAGACCACGTCAAAAGGCAACTTGAACTGATGTACGTACGTACGGAATTTTACGTTGTAGTTGACTGACGCCAAATGTAGATTTCATCGAATTAGACAGTTTGGTGATTACTGCAGGCTTACCGAAAAGAACAAACGAATAAATTCCCAAATGTAACACAACTACGGTAAAATGCCGAGAAACAGAGCGTTACCATCCGAGTAACACCAGCTACTATGATCTAATACAAAACAATTCCATCTCGTTCAGTATGTAATATTTAAGTCTTTTTGGTTTCGATTGTTTCAGGCACTCTGTATAGTAATCAATCGTTGTAATGCCAGAGTTAAATTTAAAATCATCAGTAATGGAGGACTTATTCCAGAGGAACCATTATACAGCAACCATCAAAAAAGACCACAGTTTACATGCACTTGTCACTAAATATTATTTATTGGAAGCGATGATTAACTGGTACTGTTTATACAGGATTCAGTGCTAGTGCTAATTTTGAGCAACAGAAACTTACTAGCCGAGCCCTGGCATTACCAGAAAACATCAGAAGCACCGCTGATAGAGTTTACCAGTTTTCTTTCGAAAATATTTTTAGAGTCCGAAGTTTGAATAAAATATATACTTGATAGGTATCTATCCCAAAAACTTGAAATATTTTCACAACAAATGGGACAAACGATTAAAACACACCTGGAAGCCTGCAGAAAATAAGAAGTCCATACATCCGGGAACAACCAAAAGTGTTTCAATAAAATCCAAGCTGGTCAAAGTAATGCGGCGAAACTCTTCTTCTTGGGGATGACTTAAAATTTTATCACATATTTTGTGCAAACACCCAAATGCACGTAATTTCTGAAGTTGATTTCTGTTGAGTTTGAGCTGTATTAATGAGTAGTCCAAGGAGAACTCATGCAAAACATCTCTCAACCTGGGAAGATTGCTACCTTAACTCGGGTTATCAAATAATTTAGCCTAACCAACGATTGTTTCGAAACATGTTTTATCGTGATAAAGTTTGAAAGTCGGTAGGGCCGAAACTCCTTCTTGTCGACAAAGGTCTGAGCAACATTCCGTATTCACTTTCATAAAAACAAAAGTTTTCTGACGAAACTCCGATGACAGAGCTTCGAACTGCGGGGCAATGCGACGACAAGGTCCGCAGTAATCTGCATAAAATTCAACTACCAGGATTTCCTCCGATTCAGAACATTTTCTTAATGCTTCATCAAACTCTGAAATACTTCCAACGACACGCATTAGACGGCCTTGTGATCCAATATTCAATATCTCTCCTACAAGCCAGTATAAACTGAATGACTTCACTCCGTCCACGAGATGATCCACATATGAGTACGTGTTTATCAAGTCTCTTCTTAAAGCTGTCCACTTATGGGGCTGTAGTCACCTCAGCTGGGAGAGCATTCCAAGTTGCGATGACTCTTAACGAGAAAAGTTGTGCACGAACCTGAGTATTCGCTCATTGATGTGCAACCTTTGGGTTGGCAGAATCACGAGTAGGTAGTGGCATACTTTTACGAACAGAACTCAATTGCTGAAATGTAAACATTTATTATTGTACGTAATTTTGACAATAATTGTTATGTTGTACACCTTTTGTTCATCTGTACAAAAGACTCTCTCTCAGGCGCCAAACGTGTTATCCCCTTCCTGTTTCTCCGCGCGTCTCCTGACTGGGTGTTAGCCGTTGGTGTACCCTAGTCTCATGATTATTTTGATGTCACGAGGCTAGCAATAAATATACTTCTTCAACTAGAATCGTCTTTTCTCTAACTTCTAGATAAACGGGATTAGCATTTGTTAACCCAAGAAACTGAAGGCTTTTCTCGGTTTGGTTAACTTCTACCGACGTTTTACTCCCCACGCAGCAGAACAGTTATGACCATTAACCGACTTGCTTCTCGGTAACCCGCGTAAACTAGAGTTGAACGATGCAGCACGAACTGCATTTTTAGAGATTAAAAAAGCACTAGCTGAAGTCACGCTCCTCACCCATCCTGACCCATCAGCCCAGCTCAGTATAGCGGTTGATGCATCAGATTTCGCTATAGGAGCCGTTATGCAACAAAACATCTCTGGAAAATGGCAACCTCTCGAATTTTTCTCACGACGCCTTAATTCCAGTGAGACGCTTTTGGTCGCGGGCTGTAAGCAGCCTA